TCTAATAAATAGAGACGAATCCGATTCCTGTATATTGTTCCTATTATCTGTCCATTAGCTGTAGTATATTGGTACACGTACCGGTGAGGTATAATAGGCAATCAGTAGCTACGACGTAGTGGGAAATACTATGCCATTCATATCACGTCGTCTGTCTTATTACCACTCACATGATGAAACACACTTTGACCTCGTAACAGGAAGATCTGTTCTATTAATTCCACGGCATTGTCAATCAACTATAATTAACAACGACGTCGATGCAATCCACAGAGGATTGCCATAAACAAAGGATTAGTCCTCTGGAGATCGAAATTCGACATTAGCATCTTATGTAGTTGTTTGGTCACGTCTAACGTTAGATACGTGGCAGATATCTCCAGCAGGACGCGTCCTGAATTCAGGATCAAAGCTAATGCATTCCGGTTACTTCGCGGGCCCACGCTTTGCGGTCTTGATTGAATTTTACGGAGACACGCCGCGACAGAGGAAACCGAGGCCGTCTTTGAAACTCAGTCACTCACACATTTCCGCAGCCACGGAACACCGACAGGCTTGGACTAACTATTTTTGATCGACGAGCTACAATGGTTACTTATGAAAAAAATTCTATCCAAAAATTAATTGGAACGTTTTCAATTTTCACGCGAGCGAGCAAGAGATAAAATCTTTTCTCAACCCTTCACCGAAAACTTTAGCAATTTAATCGAATCCTTTACGTCTCGTGCAGACAGGAAGAAGCGTAACAGAATGAAATACCGTACATAAGTATAAAGATCGCAGAATTACGATGGTACATTGGACAAACAAGCAACGGGTTCCTTTTATCACGACAAGGGGAACGTAGTGAACTGTTGTGCTCGTAAAAGTTGCATCGCCCCCGGGCTGAAAAATCGCGTGGAAATTAATAGAAAAACGTCTAGGCAAGACAGCGAGCTACGATCCTGGCGCCAGAAGAGAGAAGGCTTCCAGGGGAGTATACGCCAACGAACATGAACTAGTTACTTAAATCTACCCCCGTCCCTCGGCCTGAGTTCGACATTGGCAGGCGGCCAGTGATACGCGCGCCGCGTGTGCCCGTCTGCCCGGCTACCCACCACCGATCTACTCGCGGTTATCTCTGGAATCTCGTGTAATAATATACGCCACTGTGAACTTTCCGCCATGAAACTGAATTTCCTACATATAGTTGGCAGATACAAAACAGGTCCTATGCAATTTTCTTCTAACTCCACTCGTTAGGAAGTATTTATTTGACAATGGACGAAATAATTAATCGATTGTACCTGAAGTATTTGAGATAGAAGAAAATTATATACGATCTTTCTTACAGGTAATAGTAGTACCTACAATTTTTCTTTGAAGCATTTCTCAAAATTTTGAGAAAAAAGAAAATTTTGTTCTCCGAACTTTTCACAAAAGATCTACACCATTATTTAATTATACAGAGATTTTTCCTAACTGCACATGACTTTTCTAAGAAGATTATTACGCTTTAAAATTAATACTTCGAGATAGTAACTTCGTATAAAAATTCTAAAGAAGATTTATAAGACATTTTTAAATAATATCGATGAATCTGAATGGAGAAGCTGCTTATTCTAGAAACGAAAATGCACCCCCTTGCTCGGCGAATTTATGGCATCTCCTAACCATAACGGCGTAGTTCAACATGATATAAACAGGCGAGGCACCTGGGATTTATCACGGTGGAATATTGACTTCGGTTCATTTTGTCGAAGCCGGTTGCCAAGAAATGGGACGCCACCGTCTAAGCAGCTTCTATCTAGAACAAACGAACAAGCCGTGTCGTATCGCGAGCGTTTGCACAGGCGTGTCTCATAACTCAATATCATCAATCCATGAATTGCCTCTATGCTGTGAGATTACAGAGCACGAGATTTATTTCATAACCAGAATTACGTCTATCTAAATGAAACAGAAAAGAAGAAGTCAATTTTTCATCAAAGAATATCTTCAACTGGCAAGAGCTCTTACTGTTGGGATTCAAATTTTAAATTATCTACCACTCTTTGTGCAGACTAGTAATGGCGTGAGTAACGCGAACAGTGTGAAGGGCTCTGAGCTTGAGTTTAAACAGCGTGAAACATTAATCTTTGCTTTGCGAGATGTTTGGGTTTGTTTAACTTTGTTAATTGGCAAGCGTTCCCGCGTTTGTTCCGTAGCGTGTGTACGGTTATCGCGAAAAACGCGCGAGAGTGCGCCCAGGTTCAAGTGTACCTTGGATTACTTCGTACCAATTAGTTTGCACCTGACGTTTCTAACATTTTTTTTAATTCGTTTGCCGCATCTTCTTTCGTTACTGCAACGACGGTGAAAAGATGTTTTCACTTTTTAATTAAAGAGCGTAGTTATAAGAATGAAACACGAGATTATGACATTGTGATGTATTCGAGTTTCGCGAGGCTTCCTCTGGAACGACTGAACGACCGACGAACCATGCTTCCTAACAACATTAGCTACTTGTCATAATTATGACGGTGTTAAACGAATTACGGGTTCGAACGAGTCCCGAGGTTTGAAGAACGTCGATGAGATTATGTGCTTGAGGCTTTAATTTCTTTTCATTTAGGAGCTTAAGCCCCTGGAAGAACTGAATTCTCCACGGAAATTAAATGCATCGCTTTCGGCAAAGAAGAAAATAAAAGAAACGGCGCACCTTCGCTTGTTTTTCAAAGACCGTACGATTCATTTCCGTATTTCTTGTTCGTAACTTATTCTTCGCAGTGGCACGTGATACGCGGAATCTGCAGGAGATCGCGATTTCAGTTTACGTTCCGGGAAAAACCTTCGCGGAGCATCGGCTAACAACGATGAATGGTAGTCGAACTTCCGCGGCACAATGCTACGACACGACAGCACAATCTTTCTGACAAAGAAGGATGATGCATCGCCGTTCTTTGTGTTCAGTTTCATACTGGATTCGAACGCGCTAGTTGAAATGCAAATGCATTTATGACACCGCCACCCTTTCGCGGAAATAAATGTAGTTCTGAACTTAACATGTTGAAACGATCCTACGTCTTCGTCAAAAAGTAGCACAGTATAAAAACGTGTATACGCGTGATCAACGAAAGGAATCGATCGACGAATTATAAACGTTTAATCCTGATTGAGAAGTCGAAAATCAAATTATTGAATCAACTAAAAAATTTTATACATTCCTTCAGCGATAAGATCACAATTTATGAAACACCCCGTACAAAGGATGAACGTCGATCAAGCTTCCCCTTGAAACGTATGTATGATTTGGCCCAGAATCCCGGCGGAAGGAAAGAGAGCAATCGAATGCATCCCCTCTGGCCTTCTTTCACGAGCATACCAGGATATTTCTCTCCACGTACCAATATTGTTAATCTATTCGCTGGTTCTTGGCACTGGCACACAAGAGAAATTGCCACGGTCAACAACGTAATTCAGTCGTCGACTGCGCCGCCCCTTAACTCACGCCAGATCTAATCTCATTCGAAGGCACCTATGATGATTAGAGAGGTACACGGAGTGGTTTGGCCGGTGATTTTATTACGAAGGTCTCCTTTGACGAAGAAGATTGATGGGAAGAAACGAGCGAGTGGATAAATAAAATCATGATCGAACACGTGATCGAATCAAGTCCATATCTTTTAATGTCTTTTTATCGACAAAACCGGTACGTTAATGTTTGATCAAATTAATTTTGTCAATTGAAACGAATAAATGTTACAACATATTTTTTAACAAAATGTTAATTATTTTAATCGTTTCAAGAATGAAATGGCACAATATCCGTACTTAAATCTGATGCCGTGTTAAGTGTCGGTGAATCGATTGAAAGGTTTCAAGCGTTAATTTCGCAATAGAAACGGGAGAGGACAGTCTCTCTAGAATTGTTTGCCGATGATCGCGCGTGACGGTTAATTTCCGTATCAGCTTGCCACTTAATTGCGGGAAACAGGCAACTTTATTCCCTTCGCCGTTAGACGCGAGCTTTCAAAGGAGAGGAGACACATTCAGCCCGATTGATTTCACCCGATGATGGCGGGTGAAGTACGGGTTAATTGAACGGCGAGAACTGTTCGAATTAATGGTCGAACGGCGAGCTTCGAAGCGATTTAAAGACGAGCTCGATAAAAGAGGAGTCTTCATTGTTACCGATTAAAATAATGATTGCAGTTCGCGCGTGAAAAGAACTTTCTTTTTCTTCGATAAAATACGTACTTATCATTATCGTTATCGAAGGCATTACTTCGACGAGGATGTTCCGGGTCTTAGGAAAAGAATTAATTACGTCTTAACTTTCCCTTTTAGGGATGTTCGCCTCTTGTAAACTTGCTTATTCGATGACCGAGATAATGCGATATTATCGCGCCCGACGCGATAAACGGAGGAGACCCGCGGAATTCTATCTCTAATACTCCTCTGCTTATGCATCTTGATATGCCCCATTGATCTAAAATTATCATAGAAACTACATCGGCCAGAGTTCCATTAACATACAACTCACACCGTCTCCGCCTGTGACTCAGTTACATTTTTTTGCATTACGTAGACAGTTGGTCACGTTATGCGCAACCAAGTATAAATTCTTATAATACGATTTCACGATTATGACAATGCTCGTTAACTCGCGTAACCATGATCCATGAAATAATTTGCCGTCGAGGAGGTACCTTGGAAAACGCGTAAGAAAATGGTAATGCCATTAAACTGCTCGCAATTAAGTCGTTGAAACTATAGTTTATAATGCGTCGAACCAAATTAATTTCGGCGCGAAAGCTGTTCGACTTAAGAAAGTTTCGTCAAGGATTTGCATAAGAAACCGCGTCAGCTTGCAGACGGTCACTTAACCAGACAGATTTATCTGAATGAAAAGTATTAGCAAGATGCATCAGTGATTAACGCAAAAACTGAAAGTATTTATAAAATCCTACAGAAAAGACCGAATTTAATACGAATATCGAAACTTTTGTCTCGTACGGTGTATCACCATCCTGACTCACCTTGGTGTAGACACCGGCACTGGACAGTTCGTTCTCGATGACCATCACGATGATGCCGAACATGCCCATGACGAGCGCGTAGTCGCTGATGCGTTTCCGCTTCTCGAACAGGGCCTTCCGTCTGCCGAGCCGGTATCCGACGTTCGGTTTGTGCTTCGAGCCAGGTCCGATGCTCCCGGACGGGCCCTTTACCTGGCCCGCAAGGACCCGGTCGTCGACGTACCTAGGGTACTCCGAGTGCATGCCGACCAGGGCTATAGCGGCTTCCTCGCCGGTTCCGGTGGCACCCCCGCTGCCGCAGCCGCCAGCACCGCCACCCACGCCCCCGCCACCCACGCTACCCCCACCGGCCACACCGCCGCTGTTCTTCATCGCTCCCGGGATCGAGAGTGTCGACACTGGCTTCCGTAGCTGGAACAACAGTCATCGTGCTCTGTCAGTCAACAGTCTACGATAACTGACCGAATCATAGCTATAGCATTAGCGCGTTCTCGTATTTAGATAGAAGAAGCCTTTCTCACATTACCTGGGAATATCATTCGGCAAAGCGTTGGACCATTATGTGCTACGCGTACTATTATTAGGCTTTTTTTTTTCTATCAGAACTTCAAAGTAAAATGTCAAAAGAGCGTGTTAACGTGTTCTCTGTCGAATGAAACGGAAACCGTCGTTTTCCATTTTCGCGCTTAACGAGGAACGAACGCGGAGGCAGAAAAACGTGGAAATGAAACGCGATGAAAGCGCCAAAGGCGTCGCTCGTTTCACGCGCAGCGTTCCCACTTGCTTAGACAAAATAGAAGAGGTAACTTCTCGGCGAGGAAGTGTTTCACATAAGAGACTTCCTGGTATTGTACGAAATGCGGAATACGTACGCGGGTGCGTTTCTCGCTGGGAAATCCGGTCAAGGAGACGCGATCGGCGTCGTCGGAATCTCGATTGGCGGCGATCGATCGCGTCTTCTGCTCGTCGTTGCTAAAATGCTAAAACGGAATCCGGAACAAAAGTCAATGACTCGGACAGGAAACAAGTTCTTACGACTGACAGCGCGGTTAAACTGGTAACTAAAATTCAAGAACGTAATGTACCGTACACGCGCACACTGTACTATGATTCACTGAACAAGGAAATGCATGTAGGTACAGAATTGTAAATGTGATATGAAATTTCGCAACGTGATGAGTTGCAAAGACTGATACAATGCCGTGTCACATGGTTACTAATTATTATGCGTGACATTCGCGTTAATTGGACCAATTTTCTCTCCGTAAAGTCATTCTGTTGGAACGTAGGACGGTTAAAATACCGGAAAAGGTGATCAACCTATGTCTGGAATATCTCACTGTCCATTACCCTTTCACACCTCAGTTGCATAAATTAATCTGACTATTTCGTCGAAAAATATCTAGTGTTTGCACACGGCGATATTATAAAATGAATTTTTCCATTCGATGCCTATTACAGTATGACGTGGAAAAAAGAGAGTGATTAGGCGTAGCTCAGGCGAAAACTGGTTGTGGCTCGTAAATTATCGGTAGCGCGCGACAGTGGCACGCGGTACAAAGGAGCTTTCGGCGCGACCAATAACGAAGCCTGAAACGCGTTCATGTTCACAGGGCTGAAGACGACAGAAACCGAGCAACAAAGAGGTTTAAATTGCATCGTCAGAATATCGCTCGTGCATGTGAGATAATCATAGGCGAAACGGTAGTAAAGGTTGACAGCGAACGGGAACCGGTAGTTTATTCATTTAAGATCAAGATCAAGTTCGCTCGGAACGATGGACTCATCTGCGTTCTGTGGCTCATACTTGCGCATTCTTTGCTTTCAATCTTGACGGAAGTCTGAAAGGGGTGGGCCGCAAGGTAGACGAGTTTCGCTGCGAGCCGAAAACGGAGGAAATAGCAATACGACCGGACGTAGCACAACGCGTCGCCGTGGTGTACGGATATAGAATCACGGCGGGGAAATGTACAACGAGAGCGCAAAGATAAAAAAACGCGAGGGTGTATTGTACGAAAATAAATCGAAGGAGAAGAATAGGAACGGATTTTTACAAGTATGAATTGCTCGGGGCGCAGAATACATATTGTTAGTGCATATGTGAGCGTCGTGCGTCGAGAGGAAAAAGGGAAGTTACTTAGAGTACTTTTTCCTCTTCCTTAACGGATAGTATTTTCAGTACTTTTATAGCTGTTAAATTATGTTCGACTGTATTCTAAGCTACTGTTCGAGATAATACAGTTAGTCTTTACGAGTACGAGGTGTACTGATGCCTGTAGGCTTAAGGAACGTTGAATAAAAAATAAATTTCAAGTCCCCCGAGGTCACCGTGTAACACTGTTCCGGATGGATACGATAGTCGTGAATAAAAAATACGGGATGCAGGACAGAAAGTAGGAAAAGTAAAAGCGAAACATACCACGCGTCGCGATCCGGGGCTTAACCGTCAACAAAAAGAGCATACATATAACATCTATTGTAAAAGAATGATAGAGGGATGAAAAAACAGCGTAGAGAAAGAAAAACTATTCAGCGGGCTGGGAAATTTAAGGAGATAAAAGAATACCATAAAATTACCCAGATGCATGAACGAGGGTAGTTAAATAGAGACGGAAAAAATTATATCCTAGGGGAGAGATTTTGAGAAAATATGTGCGGAAAGGAATTAAAATCTCATAAGATCGGGCATAAATGTTTAATAAAGCATAGAGAGAATGGAGTACTGAAATAATGCAGGAAATTCGCTTAGCAATTCCGATTTCACGTGTGCGCGATTAATTCTACGACTAATCCGAGTTAAACGTACAGCTGGAGGCAGCTAAAAACTTAATTCCCGGTGATGTATCTCCATTTCTAGAGTAGCGCAGTAATAGTAGCAACCATCAGGAACACCTAAACGCTCAGAGTTTCACTCCGCTTCGTTATCCTCCTGTCTTTTCTCTTAACGAGCAAAAGACTCTCCTGCAGCTGCACGGAACTGTGACTTCATTCAATTTGAATAGCGTCTGGTGTCCCTCTCTTCGATTCTAAGCGAGAGTATTCGACCGCGACGATACTATTTTTGTCAAAAAAAATTACGAAAATGTCACTGAACGCGATGTTCACGTAAAGTGAGTAAAAAAAGTATGACAGTTTTTATGAGACATAAAACCGAGAACAGTTTCAATTTGTTTTTTAAGCGTTATTAATGTGTTTCTCATTATCTTGTCAGTGGGGAAATATTTCCCAGGGGTAGTACAACGGAAAACCGTGCGAGCGATTTAAGAATGAAAATTTCTCAGTTCTCGTATAATGCGGCCACGTTTTTAACCGGAAATTACATCCACGCGACAGGTGGGTATTATCGCGACGAGTGACAGAAAATTTTCTTCCACCATGTTTCCCCCGTTTTAACGAAGCTTTGCTTTCGGTTCCAAGCGACGACTTGATGTAAGCAGGTCGCGAGAATAGAACGTAATCAACATGCGTGAAAATCTTATAAAACTAAGACTGTATTTCAACGTTTTATCATCCATTAGACATTCCTTTTTGAATTTATAGTTTCCCCTCGAAATTGTACTAATCGTTGCTCATAGTATTCACGAATCGTTATTCGCAATAAATCTGTAAACGCGCCTCGTTCTTGCCAAACGACAAAGGCGAACCGTGAAACAAGCATCCGCATACAATGAAAACAGCTACGAGTAACAAGAATTATGCCGCTTTCGGTCGTTAAATCAAGTATTCCGCGGCGAATATTTCCGTGCTTCCCGTCGCGGCATGCACAAAAGTTCCTCGGCTTCCTACCGAACCGACAATTTCGCCACGCGCAATCCTCGCCTCGTGGCGTACGAAATATTCCCGCGGCACGAAATTGAATCCCCGTCTCCCTGGGACGTTTATCGAGCTAGAAAATGGAAAATAAAAAATTCAACCGCGCCGACTGCTACCGCTGTGAGCTTTCCCGTCTCCGAGATAGCCGGAACGAGAACCCTTTCGCAGTACACAGAAAAACACTCCTGAAACGTGGCGGAACGCAACGCGAACAGACATTCGCTCCTAAAATGGAATTGTTTATCGTGTTTATGGGAGCGTACGCGTTGCCTCGACGATAATATTAACGCCAGTAAAACACATCGGAATCCCCGAACGTGCAAAACTCGAGCAACCCTCGAGCTAGGCTTAAATTCGGAAGTCATTGCAATGCAAATTGGAATGGAAAATAACGCGATATATTCATCACTTGTTGTTTGTTGTCCTCAATAGCGAATCAACGAAAATCTGCTCTTATCCTACGGGACACGTTCGTTGCCATCGAGATAATTAAGCACATACGGTCGATTACGAGATACGAGATAAAACGATCCGACGTCCTTTTCTTACGACTTTCTCGACGGAGTCGAGTTATTGGTGAAGGATAGAAAACAGAACGCGGAGGCACCGTAGTCATGGATACCGACCCCAGTTCTTCCCTTAATCTAAATCTTGTTTAATTAAAGTAATTTGAAAGTCGTTCGTACTGGTAAACTTTTACCCAGTTCCGATGATTCTCAGCCATCGGCTACTTGAAATCCACGACGACCAATGGTAAAACTGATACTGGACTTGAAAGGTATTACAGAATTGAGATAGATTGAATGCCGCCGAGATTTGGTCACAATATTTAATGCGTCCGGTGATTTGAAAGGAGTCAGATTGTATCGCCGGAGGCGGACTCGGCAAGTTTTGTAGAATTTTGAGTATCCCGGCTTGCAAGTAACCGCGACATCATTGTGCTCTGCCAAGTTTCCCACGACTGTGGGACCCACCGCGCGAGTAAATATGGAGTTTCGGTGCAAGAGTTTCGCGAGAAAATCGAAACTGCTTGCTCGCCACTTGCACTACTTCCTACGATTATTCATTGCTTCCCTGTTTCGCGCGGTTCAATCTGTTCCTAATGTTATAATATAATGGAAGTTTGTACACCGTTAAACTTTTCTGGAGATCATAGCCGCCCGTATTTGGAGTAAACGCGAAATCGCAGCTGGTGGCGATCGATTGAACGTTTCTCGAATAATTGATCACGCCTCCATCGATCCAATATTGGTCCTCAAATATTTGCCGAAAATTTCGTTCGCGACGCTTCTAAATGTTACTCGAGCGAACCTCAGCTTGTTTACGATATCCGCAATTAATTCATTGTTAATGCTCCATTTATTATTTTTTAAAACCAGGATAAACTCCGCGTCGACCAATTGTTTATTTCTTGTTGACTGATAAAGGTTCAAACTCTTGAATGTAATTTAATTAAAGCGAATTCACATTGAGTAACTTGATCGATGCAAAGCAACGAGAGCAAGGCAAACGAGAGTCATCAAACGCATTATATTCTTCGGAATAAAAGAACGAGGCTCATAAATTTAGCGCGGAAACAATATTATAAGTCAATCGAG